GGGGTGATGGGATGGGGGCAGTACCTGTAGCAGTGTGATGTCACTGGGGGTGGAGTGATGGGATGGGGGCTGTACCTGCAGCAGTGTGAGGTCACTGGAGGTGTGGTGATGGGATGGGGGATAGGTTCCCTCTAAGTTGCATGCCTGCGCGGCCACGCAGGAGGCCACCAAGGTTCGCACAGGTGTGCACACTGCACTCACGGGCGTGGGGTGAGGTGGGGGTGGTGATGGAGGAGCTTGGGGCCTGCGGGGCGGCAGCGGCCCCCCCAGCACCAGGGCTGTGGTGCGGCAGGGAGAGACGCCTCTCCCCCCTGCCCAATCCTGGGGCTGCCACAGGGGGAGAGGACTCCCCCAGCCCTGGAGCTGCTGCAGCTGGGAGAGACACTCTCCCCCAGCCCAGGTGCTTCTTCAGGGAGAGAGGGCTGGGAGGAGTCCTCTCTCTCCACTGCAGCCCTGGGGCAGCCTGCACCCCAAACCCATCATCCCTGGCCCCACCTCAGAGCCCTCTCCCCCAGCTGGAGCCTTCACCCCCACGCCTCAACCCTCTGCCCCAGCCCTGAGCCCCCTCCCACACTCCGAACCCCTCAGCGCCACCCCCGCCACACATCACCTCCATATTGGTGCACATAACAATATTCATTCTGCACATGGATGGTAATAATCAGAGAGAACATTGGATGGGGCCAGTAACTGCAGCAGTGTGAGGTCACTGGGGGCGGCGTGATGGGATGGAGGCCGTACCTGCAGCAGCATGAGGTCATTGTTAATGGTCTCTCTGTTGTATCGCGGGTGCAGGATCTGGCGCCTCACAGGGATTTTCTGTTGGCTCCGTTCCTGTTCACTAATGTTATGGGCTCCCAGCGTGACAGTGATCTCGCTGTAAAACCCAGGAGCAATACATGGGGTGTTAGGGGCAGGAGCGTATGTCAGGTGCAGACGAGCATATGAGGGTCTGACTCATGAACAGTGATTTGGAGGGGACAGGGCAGCCTGGAGCTCTCAGGCCGAGATCTCGGACTCAGCTTCTGCCACCAAAAATGTCCATACCACTGTACACATTGCCAGCTCCGATCCAGCTCCGTTGCTGGGGATTGGCTGGCTCGGAGGTGGTGGGGGGGGCAGAATAGAAAAAGGTGCCTTTCCCTTCTAGTGGGCACTGGTTGCAGCATAAACACTTGCTCAGTGGTGTAGGGGGTCGCAGCCTCTCTCTCCACAAGCCCCTTGTGCTGTTCTCATGAGCTGCTTCACTCCTCATTGTCCTCCCGGCCCCTGGGTCTCAGCTCCCATCCAGCATGATCTACACAGGGGTCTATGCCTAGCTTCCCCCAGCCCATAGTCCTCCAGAGCTGTCCTGGGACTGTGAGCCCCTCCCTGCCCCGATCTGGGCAATGGGCCAGGCCCCAGCTGGTGTCAATGGCCCTAGCCCCATTGGTTTACCCAGCGCTGGATCTAGACCATGGTTTGCAGAGGCCCCTAGAGACACGCCGAGGCCCCCTGAGCAGATCAGACCCCTGGGCTCTGCTTTCCCAGCCTGTCCTACTAACTGCTCCTTCCCTGCAACCTACAACGGCACCAGAGCTCCCGGCTCCCCCATCACCCGCTAACGACCGACCTGCCCCGACATCCCCAGCACAGAGGCGCTTACTCTCCATTGCAGTGAGCAGCCGTCAGCACGAAGTTCTCCGCCACCAGGAACCCTCCACAGCGAGACCTCCTGTTTCCGTGTTGTATATTCAGAAAAGCCATGTAGGGTCTGGAGTGGGGCTGGGCTTTCTGCCCCCCGATGATCTCACCTGGGGAGAGACCAGGTTCATATAAAGAGCCCCATCATCTCCCTGGGCCGGGCCGGGACCCAGCTCCCCATCCCAAAGAGGAGTCTCCACAACATCATCCCATCCCTCTGATACTCTCCTTGGAGGATCCCTGTGCCTGGAACTCTGCCCCCTCCTCAGCTCTCCCCCACACTGGACACCCCATGGGGCCGGAGGGTAAATCTAAAGCTCTGTCCTCGCTGTGTGGACAATCGGTGTCAAATGCACCAGGAGTGGGTCAGTAATCGCACTGCCTGGAGTTAACAGCTTTGGGGGCTGAAGTCACCCCAGATTAAGCCAGGCAGCACCTGGAAGGGCACAAACAGGTCCCTTGTGAATGCTTTTTCTCCACCATCCCACAGTGACCAGCCAGGGCTGCTCCCAGACTGACCCACCAAACATTTTAGGAACATCATTTTTTTCTCAGAAAGCCTCGTCTCAAAAATGTCTGAATTATTGATGTGAAACAGATTCTTTCCCCCCAGTGTTGCATAATATTTAGGGGAAAAATTAAAAGTTCCACTTTGGGGTTTTTTTCCCATGGAAAATAAAAAATGTTTTGTGATCACCTCTGAAGAAGTTTCCACCCAGGTGGGTGGGTGTGTTGGAAAATCTCACCATAAACAAATTGCTGTTATTTGCATGAGGGTGGCAGATAGACCGAGAACCAAGCCCCTATTATGCCAGGGGCTGCGCAGAAGCTAACTGAGATCAGGGGCTCCCTTGCTCCAGGCCTTTCACTGACCCAGGCAGCGTCCTGACACAAGCTGAATTATTCTTCACATTGTACAGAGAGGGAAACTGAGGCCCAGGGAAATTGTTTGTAAACCCGCCTAAGGGATTTTGGTGACCATCCTCAATCCATATAAATCCCTGTCCACAGAGATCCTGGGCAGATCTGAGAATGGTCCCAGGTTTGTTGGGTCCCAGCCCAGTGGCCTAGCCCCATGGCCAACCTCCCTGTCTGGGACACGGATTGGCAGTGGGGTCCCAAAGGAGCCTGTGGGGGCTTGGCCACCCAACCTCTCGTGCTGCTGAGAGAGCCCCAGCCGCACTCAGGAGAGGATGCAGGGTTCAATACAGGCGCTTGTCCCCAGCAGGAGCAAGGGGGGACCTTAACCGCTGCCCACAGCTCCCCATATGGGAGGGTCACGCTCCCCACGGGCCCTGATCCCACCCCAAAGTCACCAGCCTGAGACCCAGAGAGAAGGAGAAAGGCCATGGGAAGCAGGACGAGGATCAAGAGCTGCATTGTCAGACCCATCCAGGGATGGGCACAGAGCCTCTGCCTGAGCCCCGGGGGTTATATGGACCAGGCGTGGAGAGGGGAGGGCAGGGCCTGGCAACCACAGGACGTGTACCCTGCTGCCCGGAAACTCCCAGCCCAGATGCCCCAGGGGTGGAGACGCCAACTGGAGAAGCCTCCAGCCACAGCTGTGCCCACATCAGGGTGGGGGGTTTCCTCCCTGCTCTGGTGCCCACCCGGCCTGGCTGCAGATGTGGTTAACCCTGCCCCCTCTGTACTACAGGTGTAAGAAACACCCCTGGGCTTCTCTGCACCAAGATACTCAGACCCATATATTTCAAGGGCAGGAGAGACCATTGTGACCGTCCAACCTGACCCCCTGGTGGACACCCCAGAGCCAGAACCCACCCATCAACTCCTGTCTCCACCATGGCCCTGGGTCAGTTGTTCCCATGGCTCCATGTTTAATATTTGCATATTAGTCTCAGCCAGACCTTTTCTGACTCCAGCTCCTGGCAATTGGGTCTTGTCCTGCCTTGGACACATAGGCTGAAGAGACCCTGCTGTCAAAACCCCCGCCCCATGGAGTTTCCTACAGAGGGGCCAAGTCCCCTCTTCGCCTCCAAAACCCTCAGGAGATCACTCTCCTTGAAGCGCTCCCCGCCAGCTTGTTGTTGTAGCTCTTTTCAATTTGCTAAAGTCCTGCTAAAGGTGTGGACATTAGAGCTGGACAAAATCTCCACTCATGGTCCCACAAGGGCCAAATCCAGAGGTGACCCCAACTCCTTGCTGCTACTGAATATCCCCTGGTTTATGCACCCAAGGATGGTATCTGCCTGCTTAGCTCCTGCATTCCACTGAAATCTCCTGTTTGGATGGGTTCTGCCGTGCTCCCTTTCAGAGCCCCTGATCTCCAGGTCACAGCTCTCGTCCTACCAGCGTGAACGATATTCCTTGTCCCTCGATGTTTGACCTTGCATTTGGCTGGATTCATGTGCAGGTCTAATTGCACCCAACTCACCAGGTGACCCAGGTAGCTCTATAGCTTGGAGACATCCTTCATGCCACCAATCTTTGTGTTCTCTGCAGACTTTGCCAGCAACAATTTACGTGAACTTCCAGATCATTGATACAGATACTGAATAACCTCAAGCCCAGAACAGGTCTTCGTCGGGCCCACCAGCAACACCCCAGTGGATGCTGATTCCCCAGTGAGGATCATATTTTGAGGAGAATCAGTTAGCCCGTTTTGGAACCATGTTGTGTGTTTAGAGAGCTAATTTCTCAATATGAATGTTGTGTGGTAGTTGGGCAAACTCCCTATGGGAATCCACGTATATATCACAACAGCACAGTCACCTTAAAGAACCAGACTTTTAAGGTTGCTCAGAAATGACAGTATGGTCATTGAACATGATCTGTTCTCCATGATCTCACGCTGACTGGCATTAACTCAGTTTCTATCCTTTAGTATCTGCCTATTGGTAGATCCAATCTCAGCTCTTCCATTATTTGGCTCTGGATCCCTCTCTTGGAATTGCTATGTCTGATGAATGAGGGGTGGGATCTGTCCATCCAGATATCAGTGTCACTGTCGAACAGAGGTGGGAAAACTACAGCCCAGGGGCCACATCTGGCCCTCCACACATTTTAATCCGGCCCTCGAGCTCCTGCCGGGAAGTGGGGTCTGGGGCTTGTCCCACTCCAGTGCTGCAGTCGGGGAGTGGGATCAGGGTCTTGCCCCACTCTGGACGGCTCCCGGGAGCAGCGTCTTGACTTCACTCCGGTCCTATGCATGGGGCAGCCAAGGGGCTCCGCATGCTGCCATCACCCCAAGCGCCGCCCCTGCGGTTCCCATTGGCCAGGAACCATAGCCAATGGGAGCTGCAGGGGTGATGCCTACGCACAGGGCAGCGCGCAGAGCCACCTGGCCGCGCTTCTGCATAGGAGCTGGAGGGGGGACATGCCTCTGTTTCTGGGAGCTGCTTGAGGTAAGCGCCACCTGGAGCCTGCCCCCACGACCCCCTCCCATGCCCCAACCCCCCTGCCCCATCCCTGATCCCCCTCCCGCCCTCCAAACCCCTCAGTCCCAGCCCGGAGCACCCTCTTGCACCCCAAACTCCTCATCCCCAGCCTCACCCCAGAGCCCACACCCCCAGCCGGAGCCCTCATGCCCACCTGCACCCCAACCACCAATTTCATGAGCATTCATGGCCCACAATACAATTTCCATACCCAGATGAGGCCCTCGGGCCAAAAATTTTGCCCACACCTGATCTAAAACAATTCCGGAACCTCTGTGAATCCATTCAAAATCAATATACATGCATGAATACCCAACTCACTCCATTTAAATTCTTGCTAGATTCACTTCAGTTGATGCTGTTCATTCTAGATCTATCCATACCCACATAGCTACCTGTAGATCCCTTCTAGATTGGTGCACATCCCTGTACATCCATTCTAGACCCATCATTTCACCCTACCAGTGCTGGACCGACCTGCTGTCTGGACCCTGCTGGTAGCTACAGGTGCTTGGAACAGTGACAGCAGCACAGATATGTCCAAGAGGGGAAAGACCCCACGTCTCATTCTGTACCCCTAGAACCAGCCAGTCCCCTGCTATGAGGTTGTATCGTAGCTGGCACCCCCTATAGGGGAAAGACCCGAAATCCATTCCCCATTCCCCCAAACCAGCCTGTCCCCCATCCCAGGGCTGCTATTAGTCTCACCAATGCTGCATAGAGAGGCAAAATCCCTTCCCTGATTTTACAGCCCAGGCTCTGGTCAGTTTTGTCCCAGAGGTGTGTGGGGAGCTCATGGCACTGCTTGTTCACTGTAAGCCCTCCTAGGTCCTTTGTGAAGCATCAGTTCTCCAGGACAGAGTCTCTGCGTCCCTGGGGCTGGGATAGAGAACACTGCATCGGCTGGATTCTCACCGCGGGGGTGTGACTGGGCCCAGCTCACCAACTGCCCCAGCTTGCTCCCTGCACCTTCCCTGGCTCTGTCAGCATTTATCGCTCTGCCTGGTGCTGTGACACCCGCAGGTCTGATGGCAGCTTGAGCTGTGACCCTGGGGTGACTCTGGTTTCTGGCATCCAACCTGAGACATGGAGCATGTCCGGGGCTCTCAGATGACCAGGGCTGCATTGTGCTGGGCGCTGTACGGTGTTTATTAGGTGTATTATGGTAGCACCTAGAAGACCCAGTCATGGCAAAGGATCCCATTGCCACTGCACATGACTTGTTAGGTGTATCACTGTAGTACCTAGGTGGAATCCCAGCTATGGCCCAGGACCCCACTGTGCCAGGTGCTGTACAAACACAAAACAAAGTGATGGGCCCTGTCCCCAGTAGCTCACAGTCTAGGTATCGGACAGGAGAAAACAAGTGGATACAGACAGGCTGATGGGGAAGAACTAGGGGAACAATGAAATGACACTAACAGGCATCGTTGGATGGTGCCAAGTCCCAGTCTGAGACGTCTCTTCCCAGAGCATCAGAGCCGTGTCTGGTCCATTAATCCCTGCTGCACTGGGCTAGGTTTGACATGTATTTTCTTTGCTCCTTGCCTGAATAGCCCCTGATTAGTGTCAGGCAGGCAGGGGGGACACACAGAGGCTGTTTGGGATCAGGCCTTGACATCTGGGCTGAGATGTCTGATGAAGGGGACTGGCCTGCCTGCTGTTTGTGACCCTTCTGTCCCCAGACAGGTGCAGAGTGGAAGAGGAATGATGTATAAGGGAAACTAAGAATACCCTGGTACCGATTTCTCCTCCAGTGGGCCTAAAGTGCACTCCTGTTGTCAGTGAGCTGGCCTAGGTGTCAGCGGTGGGATACCAGAGTCAGGAGAGCTGACAACAGACACAGTGATTTGCTTTTTCACCTGTGATTTCCCTTGTATTTTTAGCAGATCCAGCATGAATTACTCAAACCCAGGGTGTGAATTCCCCACTGGGGCCCAAAACCCTGGTTACACCTGCTAGGTACAAGTTAGCTGGGAGTCTGAGGCTGGGGGCATTCATTCAATTCCCAGGAAGGCACCACTTTGTTGTTTTGCAACTTCATTTTTATTCATTGCTGGGTAAGAAGCAGTGAGTGAAATGCACCAGGTCCCGCGGCAGGACAGGGCGGGGCAGGGCAGGGCAGGGGAGGCTAGAGGGAGGCGCTAAGAGTTGTCATTTCAGCTGAAATCAGTTCAGTGCATAATTTCCTAATTTCCCTGCCCATGAACAAACTCCCACTCTCCTTGTTGGTGCTGGGAACAGGTGTCTTTGGAACGGGTGGTGGCTACCTCCGGGGGAAATAACGTGGAAAACGCCCAGTATGGACAGGGCAGGCTGCAGTTTTAACAGGAGTTAACAGGTCAGGATCTCCCATAAACGGTCACTCAACTGGTTGACATGTGGGAGGGCTACAAACTGCCATGTCTGCTCCAGGGTTTCGCTCGTGTCCGTTACCCCGGGGGAAGTAAACCAGCTGTTTCCCTAGTGAAGACACAGCCTCAGGACCTGGGTTGGGATTGCCAAGGGAGCTGAGGGAGTTGGAATTGAACATGGATCCTAACTCCCCCAGGTTCCCTGCCTTGATATTCATGGGTTGAGCACTGCCTGAGAGGAGCGATGTCTGGGGTGGGGGAGATCAGCCTAGGGGGACTTAGCCCCTATGCAAAGCAGCCACTACATCTGGGCCATGCAAAGAACAGAAGTGGTGCAGCTCCAGCCTCTGCAGCGATTCACAGCATGGCTCAGGGCTGCAGCTTCCTCATTGTAGCCTCTATCCAGGGGATGAAGGTGGAGACTCTCGCGTAGACCCTTGGGGGGCTCCCATTGACAGGCCCCCAAGAGACAATGCCCTGGGCTGTTTTCCCACACACCAGGGGGCCCCCAGAGTCACCCTGCAAAACAAAACAAGCCACAGATGGAGAAAAGCTCAGTGAGTCATTTCCCGCTGTTCTTCAAACACTGATGGACACTTTAATGACACCCCCCTGCTATCCAGATGGTCTCTGCTTGGGC